TAAAATTGACACTGAGTTAGACAAACTGATTCAACAGGGAATCCTAGAACCTGTTGATTCCAGTCCTTGGGAGACCCCCATTGTCACGCCTCTAAAGGCAAATGGGGACATTCGCATTTGTGCTGACTACAAATGCACTCTAATAAGGCATTGCAGCAACATGCCTATCCTGTTCCTGTGGTCAGTCATATTCTGGCCTCCCTCAAGGGGGGGCGCGTTTTTGCAAAGCTTGACCTAGCTCAAGCGTATCAACAGCTGCCTGTTGATGATGATGCTGCTATAGCTCAGACTATTGTGACCCACAGGGGAGCCTTTAAGGTAAAAAGGCTGCAGTTTGGAGTGAATGTCGCTCCTGGGATTTTCCAAAGCGTAATGGAAAACACACTACGGGGCATACCGGGGGTTTGCCCCTACTTTGATGATGTCTTAATTGCAGGAGACTCCACACACATTCTAGCTGAAAGGCTAAGGGCTGTTCTGTTAAGATTCAGGAAGTCAGGCCTCAAGCTCAAAAAAGACAAATGCAAGATTGGGGTGCCTTCTACTGAATTTCTGGGGTTCAAAATTGATGCTGCTGGGATTCACCCTGCTGAATCCAAACTAACTGCTATTTTAGAAGCACCTAGGCCAAAGTCCAAGGCCGAACTTCAGGCCTTCCTGGGCCTCCTGAATTTCTACAATTCTTTTCTTCCACATAAAGCTAGTGTAGCTGAGCCTCTTCACAGGCTACTAGACAAACAAGCAGTGTGGCAGTGGTCACATACACATGAGGCTTGCTTTAACAAAGTCAAGGCCTTGCTCACTTCTAACAGTGTACTTGCACATTTCAACGAATCTCTTCCTGTGTGCATCGCATGTGATGCGTCCCCTTACGGGGTAGGAGCTGTCCTGAGCCACCTCAGGTCTGATGGAACTCAGGTTCCTGTTGCATATTACTCCAGAACATTGTCTTCTGCTGAGCGCAACTACGCTCAGATAGACAGGGAGGCTCTGGCTGTTGTCGCTGGAATTAAAAAATTCCACGATTTTCTCTATGGCAGGCATTTCACGGTCTTCACTGACCATAAGCCTCTGCTGGGACTGTTTACCACACGTAAGCAGACTCCCCAAATCATTTCCCCTAGAATGCTTAGGTGGTCTATTTTTTTGTCTGCATATGATTTTTCTTTACTCCACAAGCCTGGGAAAGAAATGGGCCATGCTGATGGCCTCAGTAGATTGCCTCTGCCAGTAGTAGAAGCTGACCCTGCGCCAGCTGTCAACATTCTATCAATCCAAGCCTTGCCCGAGCTCCCTCTTTGTGCCAGGGATGTTGCCGCTGAAACAGGTACAGATCACACACTTTCACGTGTCCGTTCCTGGGTTTTGTCCGGTTGGCCTGAGCACTGCCCTAGTCCTGAGTTTCAGAGTTTCTGGTCCAAAAGAAACGAGTTGTCCCTTTCTCAGGGTTGTCTGCTTTGGGGAAACAGAGTTGTCATTCCCTCCTCAATGAGGACTAGGGTCTTAGAATCCCTCCACGAGGGTCATCCTGGCATTGTTCGTATGAAGGCTCTTGCATGCAGCCACTTGTGGTGGCCTGTTTTAGATAAGGATATTGAGGCTCAGGTGCATGCATGCCACCTGTGCCAACGATCTCGCCCAGAGATGCCCCAAGCTCCCGTGCATAAATGGGAGGAAACGCAGTCCCCATGGTCTAGGGTGCACATTGACTACGCTGGGCCCTTTCAGGGCCAGTTCTTCTTGGTCCTTGTTGACAGCCATTCAAAATGGCTTGAGGTTGTACCTGTCTCTTCCACCACCACTGCAAAGACTATTCAGGTACTGAGGGGGATTTTTGCTGCACACGGGCTTCCAGATGTCATCGTGTCTGACAACGGCCCTCAATTCACTTCCTCCGAATTCCAAGCTTTCTTACAGGCTAACATGATTCGTCATGCCACGTCTGCACCCTTCCACCCGTCCACCAACGGTATGGCTGAACGTATGGTGCGCATCACAAAGGACGCCTTGAAAAGACTCACCTACGGGGACTGGCATCACAGGTTGGCTGACTTTCTCCTTTCTTATCGCACCACACTGTCCACTTCTACAGGGAGAAGCCCAGCTGAACTTCGCTGGGGGCGTCAACTTACTACTAAACTTGACCGGTTGCATCCGGACAGACTGCCTTCATCTACCTCACATCCTAGGGCACCTAGACAACTACTTGTGGGTGCCCCGGTTTGGGCTCGCAATTACGGGCCTGGTCATACATGGGTCCCCGCTTCTATTTCCAGGGTCACAGGTCCTCTCTCCTACGAGGTAGCCCTGGACAACGGTCGTGTCCTGCGTCGGCACATCGACCAACTCCGCCCTAGGCGGGACTTTTCAGATGAGACTCCTGGGTCTTTTCCAGGGGGGGAGGGGACCCTTTGGAGCAAAGGGAAGGGCACGAGCTGCTGCCCATCTCCACTGATGGAGCCACAAACGGCCCATCCCAGGGTTCCGCAATTGCTCCGAAAAGGAATTCATGGAGCTTACCCACACAACAGGCACTCACGCCTACTCCAGTCACGGAGGATACCCGGGGGCATCCCAACAAATCATTCCCCGCAAGAGAGCTGGCACACAATCCCCAAGGTTGGCCTGACCTTACCCCAAATTCTACAGGGGGTCAAACATACAGGGAGGTGGTCGAGGAACCAAGTCCCGACTACAACACCTCTAGCCCAAATCAGGGAGTAACTGAGTTTTGGGAAAGTACAGAAACCCACACAAGCCCGGACACAGAACGGGGTTCAGGGAATGGTCAGCCTCCTGACAGGTCTTGGACGGACCTAGGAGGTTCAACAGAGACGCCCAGCAGTGGCTATCACTTCAAGGGGCCCGAGGGTCTACAGCTAGGCAGGTCAACCAGGTCACAAAGTGACAGAAGCCCTGGCCTGACGAGCCCGGTGGGCAAGCAAGCAGGCCAGGCATTGGGGCACAGTCCTTGGAAGGCACCAAGGCAAAATAAGGAGAACAGGCTCACATCTCCCTCCAGTCAGGGAACTCATGCTAGTAACCCAGAGCTGAGAAGGTCACAGAGAGCAAAGAAGTCTCCTAAATACTTAGAGGATTACATAACATTGCTGGCTAAACAAAAGCCAGGTAACGATAGGAGCACTGAGAAGCAGAACACTGCATAAAATAAATGTTTATATGTTGGTAGTAGTTTTAGCCCGGGGGAAAGGGGTGTTATGTCCCGAGCCTTGCAAACGGCTCGGGCGTTTGCAGGCAGTCCCGGGCAGGTGCAAAGCTGCCCGGGACCAGACAGGCTGTCGCCAGCGCCGTGCGCATGCGCGGGTGCTGGCGCGGGAAAAGTAACACATTTACCCGGGAAGCGTCTATATAAGAAGCTGGGAGGTTTGGGGAGCTGCTGAAGCCATCTACTTGTAAGCTGAACGCTGAATAAAGGAAACTGAGAACTTCAACTGCTTCTCGTGTCTGCTTCCCGCCAAGGACTCAACACAACGATCATGTGAAAAAACAGTCATAAGTCACTTTTTCAGTGCTGTTGTAACTTCAAGCTGGCACTAAATGAATGGGTGTCAGCTGAGAACTACCTGTACTAATTGTAAGGTTTGGGTCATTGCAGAAGAACTGATGAATGCCGTGGGAAGTAGAAGTAGGATCTGCTATTTGTGCTTCATTAACACCAGAATCCTTATTGTGTCCCCATGCTCTTTTATATCATATAGGGCTGGAAAAGAGCACCTGTAGTATCCCCACATTTGATCAAAAAAGTTAAGAAGGTGGCTACAATGGCGTAACCACAGCTTAGCCTGCTTTTAAGATGCTACAGATTACATATCAGATTATATTAATGTAATATATGGTGGTTTTACATCTCCCCCTTTTTATTAATATTGTACTAAACACAAAATGAGATGGCTGGATGGAGTCACTGAAGCAGTAGGTGTGAATTTAAATGGACTCCAGAAGATGGTAGAGGACAGGAAGACCTGGAGGAACGTTGTCCATGGGGTCGCGATGGGTTGGACACGACTTCGCAATTAACAACAACAAACACAAAATATGCTAACTTCTATAACAAGTTATTACTGCCTGACATAAACTTAATTATTCTCTTTACTACATTCTGTTAAATGAAGCAGATGACTTCAGATGACCTTAATTTAGGAAAATTAAATTATTTCTATCAGGTAATTATTACACATTGGAAGATGGAAGTAATAAACTTCTTTTGATTACTTTTTGATGATCTATAATGAAGAAGTCAGCCATTTCATAATATGGCTACTGATTAATCAAAGCCAGCATTAACTTGTTAGAAATAGAGAGAAGGTTATTCCCTATTACTTTTTTTGGATCACATGCTGCCAACCAAATATTTCTGAAAACCTGATTTCATTAATTATCATAGATTATTACAGAAGGAACAAAGAAGTCTTTCTAGAATTTTCTAGAATTCTAATACTTAGAGGCAAAATGGTGACTAAGCTGTAGCAGAAGAACCTCATGAATCTCCAAACTCTTTGGACTGCCTTTGACCAGAATCGCTAAAACTGCAAGCACAGATTTTTCACTATTTTGACATGAAAACTCATGAAAACTATGCCACAAGCCTTGATGTAAAATTTTAAATTTACATATAGATGGGTCTCATATAAAACTATATATTCAACTAGCTGTGTGTGTGTGTGTGTGTGTGTGTGTATACACACCTAGTTTGTGATATCTTCTTCTGAGAGTTTTACAAGAATCAGGACAAAAAAATGCATGTCCTATTGTCCCCCCTCTCTCCCCAAATCTAAATAGAAGCCTCACTGGTGGAAGTCACCTCTCATTGCTCTCATTACAGAATAACAGAGTTGGAACCCCCCACCCCCCATCCGTTCAGGCAGAAAACCCTAAAACATTTCAGACAAATGGTTGCCCAGTCTCTTCTTAAAACCTCCAGTTTTGGAGCGTTCACAACTTTTGGACACAAGTTGTTCCACTGATTCATTGTTCTCACTGTCAGAAAATTTCTCCTTAGTGGTAGGTTGCTTCTCTCCTTGATTAGTTTCCATCCTTTGCTTCTTGTTCTTCCTTCAAGTGCTTTGGAGAATAGCTTGACCTCCCTCTTCAGTACTCAGATTACTGCAGCACACTTTACATGGGTCTGCCCTGGATAGGAAATGGAGGAAAGGAAATAATAAAAACATACTGAAGTCAAGAAGAAGGTTAATAATAAATATATCATGAGAGTAAAGAAGCTCTTAAGGTCCAAACTCAATGATGGAAACACCATCAGGACAGTTAACACCTGGACAAATCCAGTCATTAGATTATAGTTGGAATAGTGGATTGGACTCAAGCTGAAGTAGAAACCCTGGATAGGAAGATCAGATCAATAAGGACAATAAATTATACCCTACAAGAAAGATCCAAAGCAAATGGCAAAGCTAAGTATTACATAGCTAGTACACAAAGAACCTAGCAGGCAAAACAGATAACAACAAGACCTGACAAAGGCTAAGAGCAGGAAAATTGAAGAAAGAGAAAGAGGGGCTAACTCTGACTTCACAAGATAAAGCCTTAAGCACAAATGCATATAAAGCCAGAACTGAGAGGATCGCAGCAGAGAGCAAATGCCATTTCTAGAAAGAAACTGAAGAAACAGTGACCACAGAAGATCACACAGGCTGACTACAGACAGTGAACCAATCAAGATATTCTGAAACTTCTCCAGAACTGTTGCCCCTCCTTCCCCAAATGAGCCTAAACACAATCCCATCCTTGGAACGCAGAGGCCAGTTGCTTCGTGCTTATTATTACTTGTTGCTTTCCAGAAGAAGAATTACATTCTTTTGGCTTTTGCCTACACTGTACAATGAAGAGGAGCTATAAATCATACTTTGCCAAACTCACACGGGTTTTGATGCCTGAAGGGTGGCCAAGTTTCTTTTACAAGGAAGCCAGCTGGCTTAGGGGCCAAAGTTACAGATTAGGAAGAGAAGGATGATAACTGTCTAACTGCTAAAGCTGCAATTTCCATTCCAAAGTCTGAAGGAGTCACTTCCTTCAACTCAGGGCTGAGCTGCCCTGGCACTTGGATAAGAGCCATGAACCAGCTGACACGACTCATATGATGGTAGCCAATGGGGAAGATGTACTCCTTTGATTGCATTATTGTTATAACTGCATAGAGCACCCTGTCCCTGTTGGTACGATTCTAGGATACCAGGAGGAATGAAGTGCTGTGTATTTGCTTTGGAATGAAGTATTCTAGAAAGCAAATAGAGAAAGAAGTGAGGGATCCAGATATGATAAAAGTCTGAGAGTGATGTCAGTTTATAACTTTCTGTTCCCTTCCTGCATCTGCAAGCATTTTTTGCTGTATTCTGTGTTTCTGCAAAGTAGATTAGTATTTATAGCCATATAATTGCCTCAAAACACTTTTTACCCTGTTTCTTTAGGATAAGCTAACTTGCACTTCTTCTCTATGGCCATCCCTTTAAGAGCTAATTTCATCAAACATTTTTCTTCCATAAATATTTTTATATAAAAAATGCCTTTGAGGTATAAGACATTCAGATCTTAAGTGGATGAACAAGCAAGCAACATATATCATAAATTTCACTATATATTAATCTGAGAAAGCCTCTCTCAGCTTGGTGCTCACCAGAGATGAGAAATTACAGCTCATCCAGGGAAACCATGATGGAGGCAGAGTGATCTAATGTAATGTCAAACCATATGATTGAAGGGGGAATGTTTTAGCTCTGTCTCATATTATTAGTGTCAATCTGATATTTGTCCAAAGATCAGTTATGACTCTTGTATGCAAGTGGTCATTTTTAGCTTTTAGCTTTTTTGTTGTCGTTTTTTTTTAAAAAAATACCATTAACAATAAAGCATGTGGGTTTTATACGTACAGAGGTCATTCCACATGCTGGGTGTAGTTCTTGATGTGTGCCAGACTGAAAGAGATATAAACACATGAACAATTAGGGATCATTCCCAGCTGTATTAAACTATTTCCATGCAATTAACATTGTTTCTAAAGCACCTAGTGGAAAAAAACCCTTTCATATCTGAAGTCTTAAAAAAATCCAGTGCCTAGAAAACAATCTGCATTATGCTGTTTCAATATCATTATTTATTTGTTTGTTCAATTTATTTGCCACCTATCTCACCATGGGGCTGCTCTAGGTGGCTTACAACAATAAAAAGGAAGGAATGAAAAGAGTGTGAACAAAACAGTAGCAAAAGAACAATGAAATAAACAATGAACAAGAAAACAATGAGACTATGATCACAAGCAGAGAACAAGGGTGCGAGGTGGAATGTGCCCTCAATCCAATAGCCACTTCCAGCGTGGAAATCCCATTTGTCAGTATTTACCAGTCCAGAATGTAATCACACATTTATTTTTATTTATTAATTAAAATTACATGCCACCTATTTCACTGGTAAAGCAACTGCAGATATCAACTCATACTTGTTTTTGTCCCTTGATGTCCCATTGCTAGTCATCCATGCATTCATATATATTCTTTCTCTACAGAATAAACTAGGTTTATTAGGTTTTATACTTCTCCCTAAAATAGTGCTACATTTGAGTTGCCTAATTATACTGGGGCAATCTACTCAAAAACAACTTGGAATGGGGCAACTCGCTGCAGCCATCAACTCGCTATGGGACAATTTAACAATTAGATTTAATTATTTAAAATGAATTTAAAAAAATATTTTATTTTTTGTCATTCACATTTCATCTGTCCCTCCTTTTCCATCCTTTCTTTAATTATTCTATTCCACCATTTCTTTGATATTAGTATTTCTTTGCTATTTCTCCCGCAGCAAGTTGTCCCATGTCGAGTTGGTCCTGGCGAGTTGTCCCAGAGCAAGTTGGTTGAGGCAAGTTGCCCACGGCGAATTGACATAGAGCCAAAACAATTGGTGTTATGTTCAAGAGATTTATCTCTCTTTTTTTTTGTAAAAAATTTTTTATTTTCAACTTTACAATACATAACAATCTTACAAATACTTCAGATAAAAAATAAAACAAATTGATACACACCAAGTTTGGTCTTGCCCGCCCATTTCCCTCCAAACCGCATCCCACCTCAAACCAACTTACTTCTTTCCCTCTTTTTCACTCACCCCCTCTCCTCCTTCACCTCAACCTTCCTACTTACTTCTCACTTTCTTCTTCTCCCTCTTGATGCGGTCCAGGGGAAATGCCTGAGCAGTTCCTCTCTCAAAATTAAAACATTAATATTATATACAATAAGACTATTTCTACTTTATCTGAACTACTTAAACTTCAACCCATCCACCCCCCACCCCCCTCCCCCCACCCCCCTCCCCCCGACTACCCAGAGCAAAATACAGGATTATGCAAACATATTAAACATAATCTATTTAAGTTTACTAATTATACAATGAACAAAATCATAAAAACCCTTAACTCTCTTCAAACTTTAACATCATAAGTTTATAAACAAAAGAGATTTATCTCTTAAACTCAGGTATTTGTTTTCTGAGGTTTTTACGGGTGTTTGTATGTAGGTCTTTGGTTATTCGGGTTTTCTCCCACGTAAAATTGGAAGTGTTTAAAATGGCACCCACCATGAAGATGAGACACGACCACAAACGCGAAGCCAAAAAATAGCAATGCAGCTCACCATTTTAACCCCCCTGCAACTCAGACTAACCTGAGCACAACAAAGCCCCCACCCAAACAGAACACTCCCCCAGCCAATCAGAGCACAGCCGACCCCCCAGCCAATCAGAGCACAGCCAACTCCCCAGCCAATCAGAGCACAGTCAAGCTCCTAACCAATCAGAACACACCTCCATCCAATCAGAACACAGCCAAGCTCTCATCCAATCAGTTCATATCCCCACTGGCAGTTAAAAGGAGGAAACAGCTACAATGACACATTGCTCCTAGAAGCACAAAGCCGAAAGCACCAGCCTGAAGATGACGAATGAGACTTTGTCGAAACGTCGCCAAGACACTTCCAATTTTACGTGGGAGAAAACCCGAATAATCAAAGACCTACATATATATATATATATATATAGGGTTATACTGGGTTATACTGTAGAAAGGGAAAAGAGAGACTGAACTCTGAGGAGAGTTGCTGCAAACAAACGTTAAGAACTAAAATAGTCAGTTTCTGGGGCAGTTTCTCTGAAACAAAGTTTGAATGGTGAAATTGATAGAGGTAAAAATAACAATTCCAACACTGCAGCATGGAGGGGTGATAAAATGGCTAAGAAAAAGAGAAGCCACCCTGTCCACTTTACTCCTTTTTTTAACGATGCATTTTGCACCTCATCTCAAACTTTCCAAATATGTGGAGCTCTCACAGAAAAGCCTAAGCTGATGTGTGATAATGAATCCCATCCTTTCGTGATTATCTGAAGCAGACTATATGGAAAATACCAGCTCAGAGCCAAAGTCTTTCCCTTCCCAAAGCTTATTTGTTCATTGTCCACTGTTGATAAAATGAGGTAATCTAATATTTTAAAATACAGTGTAGCTGGCAAGACCAGACCAGACCAGACTAGGCCATCAATTTTGAGAATCTTGTGAGCGCTACTATTAAACTATTGCAACAGAAAAAGAACTGGGAAAGGTGATAAAAGGAAGGCAGCATTTTGTCGGCTCCTTTCACCAATACTTATGCTAACTTAGCCATATTTTTCTAGCCTTTATACATATGGTTATCCAGTTATAGTTTATGCCAACTAAGAATACTTCTATTCACATAAAGCTGGGGACTTAAGAACAGGATGGTCCACTGTCAACCAGTATTTTAGAATAGAATACAGAATAACAGAGTTGGAAGGTACCTTGGAGGTCATCTAGTCCAACCCCCTGCTCAGGCAGGAAGCCCTATACCATTCCAGACGAATGGTTGTCAAATCTCTTCTTATAAACTTCCAGTATTGAAGCATTCACAACTTCAGGAGGCAAATTGTCCCACTGATTAATTGTTCTAACAGGAAATTTCTCCTTATTTCTAGGTTGCTTCTCTCCTTGATTAGTTTCCATCCATTGCTCCTTGTCCTGCCTTCAGGTGCTTTGGAGAATAGCTTGACTCCCTCTTCTTTGTGGCAGCCCCTGAGATATTGCAATACTGCAATCATGTCACCCTTAGTCCTTCTCTTCATTAAACTAGACATACCCAAATCCAGCAACCACTCTGTGTATGTTTTAACCTCCAGTCCCTTAATCATCTTTGTTTTTCACCATGGCCATTTGGTCTTTCATTGTGGCCAACCAAATATCTGGTAGTTAGGAAGTGTCAACATATTCCTTCACTACTGTGGTGGTGATGGTGACAAATCATTTCTATATTGCTGCCAGAAAAATGATTGAACTTGTCTCTGAAGACAGAACTGGGATTGAGGGAGTTTTAACTCATTTTACTTTTACCTATTTGGTATCATTGCTAGGGCTCCCAATTCATTGTTCATCATATGCAGTTGGTTTCTTGGATGAAATGCTTGCATCTGAGGGGGGGGGGGAATCAAAATAGTCAGTCTTTCTCTCTATGTGATCTGGTTTCATTCCATCTCATTCTACCAGGACATTCAGAATTCAGATGTGGTCATTGTGCGACTGCCTATGTTTTAATAATTCTGTTCAGTTATGCATGGATTCTTTATAGTGTAGTTCTCCAAAATGCTTGGTACATATTGGTTTTTTGATTATTCAGGCAGTGTAAAAACGGCAGGATGTAATTTCCAATATGGTACATAAAACCTGCATTATAGATGCCAGAAAGAACAAAATCTTTGTTAATTTTTTGATTGTGGAGATGAAAATTATGCTTCCTGTGGCATATACTATATGCTTATACATCTGAAGAACCGAGCAATAGATTTACAGGAAAATTATATTGAGGGATTGCCAAAATGAGAATTCAATACAGTCTTGGATCTATAATATTTTGTTAGGATTTTATGTATGAATTTAACAGGGAATATTTGACATCCTCTTAAATTTTCCCCATGTGAACTCACCTTTCTTTTTTTTAGTCATCACATTGTTTTCATTTAGGTTTTCTTCCAAAGATAAAACATATGACATATATATCATAACTATTTTATTAAGGAAAGCTAACATCTATATAGTTCTCTCTCTCTCTCTCTCTCTCTCTCACACACACACACACACACACACACACACACACACACACAATTTCACCACCATTTTTGATATGAGATATAGGAATGCTATTAATATGGAAATGTATACATTTCTCATAAAAAGAAGCAAAGCTCATTTGAAGTTCATTCTCTGTAGAAACAAGGCACAAAATAATTAACTCCTTAAAAATTGCATCTCTCCTGAGCAATATACCTCATTAGTATTTGCAAAATAAGAATTTAAAATTTTACATGCTACTGAAACAGATATTTTACTACCGTGTACCAGGCAATGATACTGCCAAGTTTCCCAACCACAACTTGGCAGTAAATCATAGATCCCTTGACTTGAAATGACTAAGCTCATTTCCTAGAGCAGTGGTTCTCAATCTGTGGGTCAGGACCCCATTTGGGGTCGAACGACCATTTCACAGGGGTCGCCAAACAATGCAGTCCGCCATTTTTTCCCCCTTTTCCTTAGCTGTGCTACTCCCTTTTATTCTGTTGGCTTTTGAAAGCCAATAGAATAGACTCTCTTGAATAGAGAGAGTCTGTTGGCTTTCAAAAGCCAATAGGAATTGTCCAGGCTGTCTCTGTCCTGCTGAGCCCACCAAAAGTCCCATTCTGCAAACGGTGCTGCACCAGTTGAGTAGTCCTCGACTTACGACCGGTTGAGTAGTCCTCGACTTACGACCGGCTGGGGGTCGCGGCATTAAAAAGGTTGAGAACCACTGTCCTAGAGTAAGACGCAGCAGAAGTCCCACCTATATAGTTTACCTAGATAAGAATCTTGATAGCAAACAAAACAAAC